GACATTTTTTAAAAGCACAAAATTTTATACGTGATTAATCACACCGTGTGAGTTGTGACCGAGGTTACTTATTCATAATTTACTTATAACCTCCATAAGTAACCTCTGATCGACTAAAGACCTGTTCTCATACGTTTATCAGTTTAGTTTAGTTTAGTTCAGCTCAGCTCCTAATTTCCTTTTTCTTATAAAATATTCATTTCAATTTAGTTCAGTTGAGCTGATTTCAGTTTATTAGAACAGGACATAAGTAATTCCTGATTAACTGAGTAACCCTTGAATAAGTAACTATTATAAGTTTATAACTAGAATATTGTAGTCTTTCCTTTTCAAAAATAGAATATTGATAAATTGAATTAACTATAATCATTGAGTAGCAATTTTGTCAATACAAATTACAAATTAAATAGGCGTGGAGATAGAATTCGAACCTGTAACCTATCGTACACATACACTCATTCTTAACCACTAGGTTAAAACCTTATTAGTTTGTTATTAGTACGGAGTTATAGAATTGTTTATGGTATTTAGGGAATGTTGTACGAGTATATGTAATAATTACTACCAATTGTGTATACTACGTAGAATATGAAAGGCATAGGTATCAAGCATTAAATATAATAATATTGTTTGTTGTATGATTTTGTCATGAATTTTTAATTTAATAAAAAGTGCCATTATATTATAGGAATTCATGCATATTAACATTAATAATTAGCCCTTAAGGCTACATGTACAATAATTCATAGCGGATGATATAATATGAAAATGATAAAAAAAAAAAGCTAGTGAGATAGTCATAATGTCAACCACTCATAGTGGTGCAAAGTGCAATTAACCTCTGGAGTAAATTTACTTTCTTTCATAATAGTTCACCTTGAGACTAGACTTGAAACTAAAACACGACATTATCGGTCATTATCATCATAATTTGAGATTAGACACAAAACAGTATGCATGATTAATTGTAATTAGCAAAACATAACTAGTCAACCCAAACTGAAACCAAAGTAAGAAACCAACAAAAAGATTTAAAATTCAACACGTTATTGTCATTATTATCCTAATCACTTGGATATCAAGAAATAATTAAGCTAAGTAAAGAGTAATAGAAGTCAAAATCTTAGTCTTATCTTAGAGTTGGATGCCATTAATTCCCGCCTACAAATTCAAAACATACTTATACTAGTAGTATGTAGTGAGTATTATATAAATTATATTATATGGTCTTATACAAGTACACTTAATAATTTGTTATATGAATGGTCCAAAGTCCTTTAGGCAATCACTATCCTAAATTAATTAAAAGTGGTAGATTTTTAAAATGTGGACATAAAAAGAGAATGGGGAGTGGACACGCCGTTGAAGAGAATGAAAAACCAAAGATAGTTTTTTCAAACTTGGGCATTAAATTTTCTTCACTTGGTGTCTGAGTAGGTGAGCTAGTTCTCATTCTTTGAAATTGCCACATTATGTTTATGCTTATGTCCTTGGCGGAACTTGATGTAATCTGATTTAAGTTTATGTTTATGTTGCTTATAAATTACTCCCTCCGTATTTTAGATGCTGTCTCATTTTTATATGCTTAAAATTTTCAATAGATTCAAAATAAAAAGACACAACCTTTAAAGTAAGGGGAATGAAGCTATGAACCTTTCCCGGGTCAATATACTCTACTTTTGCAAGTCTATTTTTGTGGGAGTGAAGGGGAAGCACAAGAAAATCGATCTCAACCCCTAAAAAAAGAACCATTTGTAGTATTTGATCCCAGGCCATGACTTTTAATTTAGTCCTGATCAAGGACAAAGCTTTGCCACTACTAGTCCAAATAATTTATTATCGTAGCATAAACCATATAAGATAATACCAAATATCTTAACAGTATTACTTACCAAGTCAATTCTAATATTGATATGAATATTATGTCATAAATTATATACCAGAGAAATTTTCTAACACCTAATGCTTCGTTTCTTATATTTCTAACATAACAAATTTTTATATGTAGCTAGACATACGGTATGGTCGGAGTTACTCAATCGGACACAAATTACTCAACCAGGGATTACATATTCAATCGGCCAAAAGTTATCTGGTCAATGCTTTTATGTATCTAGCTAATCTCACGGTGTGGCTGGCCAGTGTGACCACTCTAAAAAAAGCGTTGTTTTAACAATAGTACTAGTAGTATTGTTGTACTAATAAATATCAATAATTCTTAAAAAAGGATACAGTATTAAATGTCATAAATAAAACCAACAAAGCTTAAGGATATTTGTTGTTGTTGTTGAGAGGGGGTTGACAGTTGACTGACCAAAGCTAATTGCAGCGTGCCGTAGGGAATGGGTTGTTTAAGTCCAACCACCATGTTCCATTTTCTTCTCCTGCCTTTTTAAAAATTATTTTTGATTCAAATATTTAATTATTTTATGTTATTATTTGTATTTAAATATATATATACAAGACAATTTCGTGTTGAAATTGGCGCAGGAATAATTTTCATTTTATCATTCTATCTAGTATAGAAAGCTACTCCCATTACCAATCTCAATAACGGAGTTCTTTGAAGTTTAAATATTATTACTTATTTTGTGATAATAATAATAATAAAAAATCACCTAAAAATTGAGTTATACAATTATATACTATACTAGTATAAGAAAATAAAAAAGGCACCTAGGTGAACGTAAGAACTTGTATTTTATAATTTATGCTATAGTCAGACTAACGCTAAATGAAGCTCTTGCAGCTGAATACAAACATTAAAAATATTTTGTGAAATACTCCGTTTAACAGATTTGAGAATTATAACAAAAATCCATGTCAAGTAATGTTTTTTATTTTTTTATTATTTTTTTTTTGAAAAAACCATTAGCCAAGCAATATTATGTGTAATTAATACTAGGTTATTCTTAAATATTTTTTTAGCTTCTTATATGTAATTAAGGGATGTATATAACATTTATTATTTTTAACAAAGTACGTGTTTTTTTAGGTGGGTAAAAATGCAATTCATATGACAATTAGACAAATTTCAAATACTCCGTACTCCTTTATATGTTTGTCAACTCGTATGAACTATTATAATTTAGGAAAATGCTACATATAAGCATTAAAAACACTTTTGAAAATTGTTTAAATTTAGAATATCACGACAAAAACACACTAAATTATACTAATCTACGCGTGTTTTTGTCATGAATTCCTAATTTTAAACATCAAAATTTTGTCTTAACTTTTATACACTTTAAGCTTAATTTCTGAAAATAAAGTGAATAAAATTAGGCTTAAATCATTTTACTACGTATATAATTCTCATTCAATTGTGTTTGTTGGAGGGGTGTTCAAAAATTGGCCCAAACTAAAAAAATAGACCGATAAAATAAATTAGACCAATTTTTTTGTTTAAAATTATGAATAAAATTGAAAACTCTATAGTGCTATATTTCAAATTCAACATGCTAAAATATTTTTAATATTATGAGGTATTTAATGCTGGACAATCAAAATGTGTCACCTCCCTTCTTTTTTCTCTCTTCTCCGTGTCTTTTTCAAAACCCTCAAATTTTTTTTTAAAAATTGTTCTAGAGGCTATTCCCCAACATTTGGTTGATGGTGAAGTCCTTAATTTCTTGTTTTTCTACTAATCTTTTTATTTTATGCTCATAATAATTCTTCATTCTCGTATTAGGGATTTAAGAATTTCAACCTATCTACTTGTATATCGAGTTTTATTTGTCTCACTATGAGAGTTTAGGGGTACTTTTTAAAAATTTTGTGGGGAAATTGATTTTTTGATGAGCATTTGAGCAATGTAGCGACTTAGGTCAATTCTATACTTGCAAACAACTGAATCAAATTTTGTTAAATTTCAAAACTAAAATAGATTGAAATACACTCTATTGCAAGGCTGTATCAAACAGTGATGTGAAAAGGTATCAATGTCAATTTTATCCACTATGATCATGATTTGACCTAAGAAGACATTATTTGATCTTATTAAGCTAGAACAATTTCTTTACCTCTAAGGCTCTAACTCGCTAAGGCCCTCTACCCCTCGTTGGTACGAGTAGCTTTTAAGGTTTAGTACAAGAAATTTTTAACTTTATAAAATAACTATTACCTCCGTTATATATTATTTGCAACGATTTGGCAGTAGAGAGGAAAAATGTCTAATCGTTGATAATAATATATAACGGAGGTAGTAAAAGAAAAGGAATCTGATTAATAACAGTATACTGCTATAATTTGATACGTCCTTCCAAATAAAAATGAAAATGTAGTAATAATGTCGAATCTGAATAGCAGAGTAATATAAATTGTTTTTTCATTACAGGAATAGTTGACTGTTCTCTGCACGTGTCGAATGACTTGTATCATTATATTTGGACCTATCTTAATTTTTTTTGGGTGTAATGATCCTATCTTAAGAAAATTCATTATTATGTCTATATTTACAATTTTGGGTCAACTACTATAGTACTACTGAATTCTGACGGTTTGTGTTTTTAATGTAAATCTCTATCTTACAGTATATTCCAACATAAATTTCCTCACGAGTCATGGCCTTTTTTTTTTTTTTAATTTTATTTAAATTGATTTAGGACTGCACTTTGACTATTCTAAGTTACAGTTACTTCCTTAAATTCCTTAAACCAAATACTCCCTTTGTCCCTAAATAATACGGGATATTCCGTATGTATGACATGCTAATTTCTATATCAAGTAAACCAAACGTTAACACTTTCCTGTATTATTTGATAATGATATTGTTTTGCTAACAATTTCACACAATATACTGTTGGTATGGTTAAATACTTAAATAGTAGATAATTAAATAATCAAGGGTAAATGTATTTTTTTCTTAAACTTACAAGTGACCCCTAATTCCTGATTTGCCAGCTTGAATACACATGTAATACTCAGAAAATTCTAGGCGCATTATTATTATAACCATATAACAATAGTAATAGTGACAATTAAGAAAACTAGAACAACTGTAGTGAGAAAATTTACAGTAGCTTTTATATCATCAAAACTGTATGAACAACATTGAACACACATGGGATCATAGTTTCAGCATTTACATGAAATGTCTTCAAGCATTCAGTTGCCGCTGCGGTTTGTTTTGGAGGGGACTCTGGGAAATTAGTGCTTACAGATGAGAAGAACCTATTCTATGAAAAAATTGTACTTGCATAGTTCCTTAAGGTATCTGGCAGAATCATACACAAGAGCGCATTTGTACCATCACTTTTATAGCTGACCTGTTCGTAGGTCTCTGTCCAAGCGGTCAGCATTAAGAGTTCCCGGAAGTTCCCTAAAGTCCTCGTTGAAGATTGAATATGCACTGTATGTAAGCATAGAGAGACATTAGGATGCCAATAAAGTACAAAAACAACCAATTAGCAAAGTATATTGCCCTACCAAAGGAGGGAGAGATTCTACAAGCCTGAAAGAACACCACTGCCTATGAATTCCCACAAATTAGAGCTACGAAGGGTTCAAGTTCATTTATGGACAGAGGCGGCGAAAATATAGAAGGGCACATCCGACGACGGACTCACAAACAGACATATGATGTATGGGATACAATCTAAATCATTCTTTTATACACCAATCCTTAACAAATCAACTAAATTAAGGTGCATACTGTATCATGGAAAAAAAAAAAAAAAAAAAGAGCATGGCTTGAATTTGGTAAGACTAGTAATATTGGCAGACAACTTAAGAAATATGACAGCAATGCCTCAGTCAGTTCCTACCTGAGTTCACCTGACTGACGATGTCCAAGATTCCAAAAGATTATAAAAAATCCTGTTCCGAGTATCTGGACAAATGAAAAATTTTATTTGTTAGAGTCAGTAACACGCATTGAGATGTATAAAAAAGGGATTCAAATTGGTTCAATATCAACTGTAGACAAGATTTTCTTGCACAGATAGCAAAAGGTAAAAAGAAAAAGGAAAGAAAAAAAAGTAACAATGAACACATGTAGCAACAACAATTCTCAACAATATTTACAAATGTTACATCTCATCCTAACAATAACCACACATAGTAGCAGCACTTTAGAACCCTTTTACTATCTCCCTTGATGGCTAATAGGTCAATCAAATTCTAAACCAACACGTCAACTGAACCATATAGCTGTGCATGAATCTCATATATGAATAACCTTCCCAACCTTAATAGCCCAAGTCTTCCCTCAATGTAAAGATTCTAAACTACTCTTGTTCACTGTCATATTATTGTTCATTTTATTCTTGATTCTCTTTAAAACTCCCTTAATTTTTCTTGAATGCTTTCGTTTGCTCACTTTACTCGTCATTTTCAAATGATTAATTTGTTATGCCCTTTTCTTTATACCGTACGATTTCTTATGATGATTCATGTTAGCCAACCCTAAATTATTTTGGGACTAAGGCTTTGTTGTTGTTAGTCTCAGATTCACCTGCAGGATCAGGCCAATCTGAGTAAGTAAATTAAATTTCTGCACGAAATAAAAGATCCCCCCCCCCCCCCCCCGCGGCCCAATAAAATAAAATAATAATAATAATAAAAGTAAAATTCCTAGGAGTTCTATTACTTAGATCTTGCAATCATAATTCAAGCGGCTTATCTGGGACTCTGTTTTCACCATCTAAATCAGAATCTAATTGATCTATGTATTTTCTTTGCAATAGTGTTATATGCTTCAGGCTCTAAAATATCTTTCACATTAAACATGATAGACTAATAAATAAAACCTTGGAACCTCAATTAGATGCATCCAAGTAATGGCTGGCATGAGCCAAAATCAGTTGTATAATATCTGAAAAGTTACAAAGGTAAAGAAATATTCCTACAAAGGTAAAGAAATATTCCTTCTGTTGCATGCCTCCAAACATGTGAACATTAAGAAAATGGAAACCCCATCAGTCAATAGATGAATTTATCCTTTTGCTAACCAAGGCATATTGTCCTTATATTATCCATAATCTAAATAGTAGCAAACATTAGTGAGGTTGGAAACAACAGAAGACATTCCTTGATCTCAATCTAGCAGATAGTGAAAGCCTAACGAAAGTGACAACAGGATAGATTCTGTTGAAACTAAACAGTTAAAAGAAAAGTATACTAACTGAACTCATTCTGACTGCACCCCTGACCGATTGCAACCAAGCAACAGGAAAACTGCGACCAATGTCACATTGCACATGCACCCCATGGAATGCGACAATATATACAAGATTACACAAACATCAGGGGGGTTTATATACAATCATATAATGGTGATATAATTAACTTACATATAAAGGTCCCAGATCCCATCGGTGTGCAACTGGAGCCATGATAAACCATAGGATGATTAAGGCCCAAGCCTTTATGCTGAGAGAGAAAATTGCAATCAAGATGATATCTACAGAAAAAAAAAAAAAAAAAAAATAGAGGTAAGAATTAGCACAAATTTAAGGTATAATACAGAAACAACTTAGATAATAGATACTCACCAGGAAGCTTCAACTTATCATGTAAAATACGAAAGAGCCTCCGTTTCCATCGACTTGTTGACTCTGGGAGCTGGAACTTCTACATTCCATTAAGGAAAAAGAAACGAAGGCAGGGGATGAAAGTGAGAAGCCATCTTACAAAAACCGAAGGAGTAAAGTTAAAAAATAATTTTTTTAAAAAAAAAAACAAAAAATTCCAACCAGATCTTCTTCATCCTCATCATCATCGTCATATCCAGCTCTAATATGCTTTGGTGGTGCCTTCGGTCTGACGGCTACAATCAAGCAATCTGAAACATAATGCACAACACTTAAGATTGATATTTAAAGTACATAAACCGTCAAAAGACAAGGAGACAACAAAGTCTTTGCCCACACCTTAAAGACAAAAATGCTAGAATCATTATCCTGTATAGCCACACAGTCACAATACTCACAAGCAGCACCTTCTAGAATGTCAAAAGTAACAAATCTTGACAATTGTTAGCATAAGATAGATATCTTGGTAATTTAATAGTATATGTGGGAAGGGTAAAGGGTGGAGAACAGGAGAAGTATACAGTGGTGTGGGCTAGAGGGTGGTAAAGTATACAGTGGTGCGTGGGCACTATATTCATCTTTATCTGGTTACTGTGTAGAATCTAGATAACAATAATCAATTTGGTACTGATCAACTTCCATTAATCAAATGAGTAAATATAAGGATCTCTTTTGCAAATCATACAGTATGGACTTAGGAGATATGCATTAGGTAAAAAAAAAAAAACCATAAAAGATGGAAGGTACATAATCCACAACCCATATAAAACAGATCATCTGACAGCTTCAGCTAAAAGCTGGGTCTATATACTGTCTCCAACTTGATTTTGAGGGAAAGCAAGCTCATATAAATCAATTGAGCTTCATAAGCTTAGCAGTAATGCGACATGTATACCAAAGCTATTGCCTTTGGTGCAATCTGAAAAAGAGGTGAAAAAGAATACACAGAGCCAGCTTCCAAGTAAAAGAAAAACAAAATCAACGAAGTATAAATCTTCCAAGTAAATGTTTTACTCATTTTATTCATCCACTAGGAGGGGAAAAAAGTCAATGAATAAGAATTGAAAAAAAGACTACGCACACTAAGACTAATCACATGAATCACATCTCATAGAAAGCCTCGTACTTCCAAAAGAAAATATCAAACTCAATACCAAGTTTTCAGTTTTTCTAATGAATCTTACTATGTCATAACATATTACGGTATTACCCACAACAGCTGCAAATCTCATCTTCACTATGAGAACAATTCAGAAAATCCACTGTAGAACCACTCATGTTATGCAAAACTCCCATTACATCCAATCTAGACAATTTATTGAAAACCTTAAGCCGTCAAACATGACTATTCCTAGAGCTCCTTGACAAGAAAGCTGAAAAATTGTAAGTAAGAAAATCATTGCCTCAATTTCCCTTCTGACTTCTGAGGTTTTTGAAAATTTAAGTGTTCATAACAAGCACTTTTTTTCCCCCAAGTTGCTTCTAAATTAAGATTCAATAAGAGGTATAACCTAAAGTGACAGCTCCACGACATGAAAACAATTAATTTTGGCAACTAAAGTCCAGGGCATCAAGTATCTTTCTATCATTCTTCCTTCCTCGAGAAAGTGTACTTGTTCTGCTTGGCCAATCCCATATAGCTCTAGGTTCATTCAGGAATCATAAATTTACTCTCTAGGTTCATTCAGGAATTATAAATTTACTCATCATATATGTACTTCATTAGCCCCAAATCCCAATTAGCAATCCCAATAAGCTAAGGCAACACTACAAATGCCGTCTAAACTTCCATTACATATGCAACACACATTAGATTTTAAATTAACCAGTTCTATATGCAAATGCCAATTCACCATACTCCATTGTATCATCACCAAAACGTGTATATACAACCGGCCTCGTTGAGAAGTTTTAAGTGGATTTAATGCCTCTTTCCTTAAATTTCATCAAATTAGGACAATAACAGTTAATTTTACCTACAGATACAGTGCCAATTGAACTAGTTTTCAAAGAAAACCTAAAATGCGCAGAATAAGATCATACCACCATCAGCAAGCCGAATAAAAACATCATCTCCATCATCGGAATCATGCAATGCATTCCCTCGAAAAATTAGCTTCAAACTTTCAATTTGCAAATTCTTATTTTCAGCAACTAGTTTCCTCAAATCACGAGCCTAGGGTTTATGATCAATTACATAAAAATTCAAAAGAAAATGCACAAATCATCTACAAAATTCACGCAAATAAAAAATCATACCGAAAAATTACAAGAATAATCAAGATTACCTTAATATGAGGAGGAAGTTTAAGGCGAGAAGGGCGAGTAGGACCGATTGTTTTGAGAAGGATTTCAACAAGAGTAGGATCACTGCTACTTTCATTCATTTTAATTTCACTCATGTTCTTGATTTCTGGTTGATTTTAGGGTTTTAAGTTGATTGAAGTTTGTAAGAAATTATTTGCTCAAACTCAATCAAATTAAAACTCAAACTTAAGTACCCAGAAAAAGAAAATTGTGCCTGCATTTGATGAAGATTTACCTTAGGAAAACTTTTTTTTTTTTTTTTGGAGAATAAAATTGACAGCGTATATACTTCTTGTATTCGACTTTTTGGGCTATTGGGTTTGGGCCTATTGGACTCGAGTGCCTCACGGTCCAAAGGTATTAATGGTTGTCCTAATTGATTTATATCTATTCTACAACTAAAGATTTAGTACAGTATTCTGTAGTCTGTAGTTCTGTATAACTTTATCAACAGGTTTATATTATGTTCACTTTATTTTCACTAATATTTTTTAATAAAAAAATAAAAGAAAAATTAAACTGATAAAATTTGATAAAAAAATAGCAGTCACCTAACTTCAATTTATTAGACTACAAAAGTTCTAATGAATTCATATTTGATAAATCAAAGCACAATTTTTTTTTTAATTAAAGCACATTATATAACCTAATAATAAGGTCATACGAGTTGTTAAGGGTTACCACATTTATTTTCAACTAACAATAATGAATACAAAAATAATCTTTGTCATATATCTCAATAGATGAAGCCCGTGCGATGCACGGATCGATCTATTTTTTTTTTTTTAAAAATTATTCATATTTATATGTAATTACATTTGTTATTTTATTAATTGTATGTAATATATCATTTTCTCTGTATTTGTTTTAATGTATTATATAAAATTTCTAATCTCAAAAGATAATATTTCGTATTTAATTAATATAACCATTAAAATCTCATTGGTCATTTATTCTTATGTGGCACTTGAATTATTTATTGGATATAACTATAATTTATAATCTTACGTGGCATAATCCAATTGTAGCGTTTAAAAAATATTAATCCTGTGTGGCGCTCTAATAATTTTTTAAAAATAAAAATCCTACGTGGCGCTCTAAAATCTCGGGAAAAACTCCCCTTTATATATATATATATTAGATTTATAAAAACGAAGTATTAAAGTTATACCATTGTACAAGTATAATGTTGTCATCATGTTATATATAATACACTAAAAGGATTTTTTACGAAAGTAAGCCTTATTAGTAAACTATTTACCAATCTAGACGCGTGGCCAAACTATTTACGAAACTGAGCTTCTGACATAAAACGTTGTCTCGGTCAGCGTTTTACCTTTGGTTATTATTTTTTTTTATAAAATTTCGTATTATGTGAAATACAAATTTAAAAAAAAAATTGGAAATACAGTAAAACGCTGACTCAATCAGCGTTTTACTTGTATACATAACAGAGAAAAACGCTGACTGAGTCAGCGTTTTACACCTAAGCATAAAACGCTGCCTCAGTCAGCGTTTTATCTGCTGGCTGAAGGCAGCAACAGCAGGCCCCCAACAGCAGCCAGTGCAGCCCCCTTCCACATCCACCAACACCACCACCACCCTCCTCCTCCACATCCACCACCACCATCACCCTCCTCCTCCACATCCACCACCACCACCACCACCCTCCTCCTCCACATCCACCACCACCATCACCCTCCTCCACATCCACCACCCTCCTCCTCCACATCCACCACCACCACCACCCTCCTCCTCCACATCCACCACCACCACCACCCTCCTCCTCCACATCCACCACCACCATCACCCTCCTCCTCCACATCCTCCAACACCTCCACCACCCTCCTCCTCCACATCCATCACCTCCACCACCCATCCTCCTCCACATCCACCACCTCCACATCCACAATTTATTTTGAACGAAATGAGTCAAACGTGGACAAATAAGGAATTTGAAATTCAAACAAGACATAAATTCATTCAAATAATTATTAAAATAATAATGTAATGTAAGTGTTATGTACAACAAACTAGAGAAGGTCATTACAACAAATAAATCAGATAATTCTATCCTATTCTGACTCATCAATTTGGTGTAACGGCTCTCTATCCTGTATGTCCACTCTCGGCCTTTGACGACGGCTGTAGTGACGGACCGTGGTAAATGGGTTCGGGCATACTGGCGGAGTCAGCTGGCTAGAAGATGGGTCATCAGGATGACGTAGGGGCACGGAACTGCGAATGTCGTACTCCTCTGCGCCCGTGAATGACGAAGGATCACCCCCACAGCTACTCTGGCCAGCCTCGAACTGTGAGTGACTAGAGTGGCCGCCATGATCGTCCCGGGGGTGGACGAGATAGGCGTGACCATATCTCTGCAAGGTAGCCATGCCCATATCTCGCACCTGCTCGACCTGTGCTCTGGGCGGCTCAGGTATGCCTGGAAGGACGTCCGACAGTGCGTCAACCATCGCCGTCATATCCAACGCCTGCAGTAATTAAGGATGAGTTAGTTTAATGATATAAAAATTTAAAATTGATAAAGATAAGTTAATCAAATACACATACATATCCCCTGATCACGTCAAAGGATGGATGATAATGTGCGGATGGCGGTGTGTAGCTGGGGTTGATGAAACGCCGTGTAATCCGCATGTACCACTCCATGTATGGATCGTATGGATCCATAACGCCGTGGATGGGGTCACCAGTGACGACGAACTCCAACCGTCGATGCCACAAGTCAATGTACTGGGCATGCTCCGTCCGCCAGTTCCTGTCGCTCTTTCCCCGACGGTCAATGCGGTGCAGCCGGGCACTAGTGTCACACTGCTGGGGGACAGTCTGTCGTAGTCCAAACTGTCGCATGACTCGATCTGGTAGGTGACCCTCGACGACCTCAAAACAGATCAGGGGGACCCTAGAAAGCCACTGCGCCTGATGATCTAGCAGATGTGGAGGCATGGCAGCAACTAAATTAGCTTCATACGGGTCCAATGTCATCTGCGATAACACATAAAAAGTAACATAATAAACAGGTTAGTGCATATTAAATATGTTAAGAGTATACATAATAAATAACAATTTCATAAACAAATTAAAGATTTCACCTGATCCTCGGTCAGTCGATCAAGGGTGTCTCGGTAGTACGGCAGGCCCCTCGCCGCATGCGCATATGTCAGATTGGGGACCGCCCATCTGCAAGCGTACGCCTCGTCAGCAGAAGGCCGTGGTGGAGGAATGTACCGCTCATACTGCTGGTCCTGATCCTACTGCCCCTGACGATGTATAGCAGGCCTACCTGGCCTGCCTACATGGATGTGCTCCCAAGACCAATACTGGACATCAAACACACAAAACTAGGTTAATTGTAAACTAAGTAAGAACTTTCCGAATTAAATTTTTAACAGATAGGTAGGTTACCTGAAGCAAAAATAACGGTCTGCTGATCTCACGAGAACCCCAGCAGGATGCTCTACACAGATGGCGATACAACATCGCCAGACAAGCACTGCCCCAGCTGTAGCCACGAATATGCTCCCAGTCGTGGTCTACCAGCTGCAGGTAAATGATCTGTAAATGGCTGCCACTCTTGCCACCGAACAACACACCCGAGATGAGCAGAAAAAGGTACGCTCGAGCATGTCTCGCAATAGTGGCCTCATCAGCACCATCAGGCAACGCACGAAAACTGTCGCGTATCCAGCCGGTCCTCAATCCGCCGCCCCTGATATCGTCCGGTCCTGGCTGAACCCCGAGAACCTGAGCTACATAACCGGGGGGATCGGCCAACGCAGATCCAGACACCGGACTCCCATGAATGGGAAGCCGTGTGAGTATCGCCACGTCTCGCAACGTCACGGTCGCCTCCCCAACAGGTAGATGGAAGGAGTGCGTCTCCTGCCTCCATCTCTCCACAAGCGCAGTAACAAGCGCTGTGTCGACCTCTCTGAACGCCATCCGATGTATACCCATGAAGCCAGCGTACTCCACGAAAGGCAGAATACGGGGATCGATAACCCAATCGCCAAGGAACGCAACAGTGTAGTGCCTGCATGTCAGTATGCCCGCCGGATCAACCGACTGACTCCAAATGTCAACGCTACGATGTGTGTCATGTAGTGTAAGGACAGAAGGGTCGGTGGGTCCGGGTGTCCTTTCTCGGGTGTCCATGGTATCTGTTCATAAACAGTTATAATCCAACAATTATAAAGTAAAAATTACATATAAGCGATAACAAAATACAGAATTTCAAATCTCATACTTCAATCTAAAAATCCAACTGTTACAATCATTTGAAATGTAGAAATACAATCACCGTACTATTCTACTACATCACTCTAGATAACAGAAAAAATAAAAAATTAGTGCCCGGTCGATCTAGAGGGACACGATCTCTTGTTGTGACCCTGCTGGTGACAGAGGCTGCATTTGCTCGCGGGACGGTTGGTCTCATCCATTTCATTGCGTATGCATCTTGACTTAGGGCGACCTTGTCCTCGTACCATGCTGTTGTCGGGAATGAGTTTAGGCCCTCCATTCTCTCTCCATGTCGTCTCATAAGGGATAGGCCAGAATTGGGGAGCGTATGTGTTTACGTAGGCCTCTGATTGCAGTACCCGGTCCACCCATGGCCGCTCTGATATCGAATACTTCACACAAACTGCTAGAACATGAGAACATGGGAGGTGGAAGATCCGTGGTTTATTGCATGTGCACGTTCTTTACTGAAAGTTAACAGTATGTCTATGGCCTCCTTTTCTACCAATTCTATCTCCCCTCTTTGTTTCAACTTGATATATATGCAGTCGACGGTTATACGCTTCCACTTTGTGATATCTAGCCTTTGCAATGTTTTTCTCCATAATGGATGTGACTTTGGGGGAGTATGCAAGTCCCTGTTCAGATCTAGTCTTAGATAATTCCCTTCTATCAGTGAAATGCTTATTGACTCTGTGGAATGTTAATTCCACAAGGGACATGATAGGTAGAAATCGAGCACCCTTCAACACATTGTTAAATGTTTCTGAGAAGTTCGTAGTACATATCCCATATCTGCGACCAGCATCGTGAAACAAAGACCACATAGGCAAGGGCACTTGGACAATATACTGTATGGCCTTGGTACACGCCTGACCGATCAAACTCATATCAGCTACCAGTTTTCTTTCCTGCCTTTGGTACGCAGCAGCCTTGAACATATCTCTCATGTCATTTCTTCGCACGTGAGTCTTCAAGTTAGAAGCCAAGTGCCGAACACAAAACCTGTGATAGGCTCGCGGCTCGGTGAATCCAACGTTAGGGTCATTCATTGCTGCAATGATCCCAGCATGTCGATCAGATATAACACAGAGGCCATCCCGTTGAGTGACATGAACCCGAATGCAGCCCAGAAACTAAGACCAGCTGGAAATGTTTTCCCCTTCAACTAACGCAAATGCAAGCGGAAATACTTGGAAGTTTGCATCCACACCTGTAGCAACCAACAATGTTCCTTTAAATTTCCCGTACAAATGCGTCCCATCGATACAGATGACAGACATACAATGTTTAAAACCTTCAACACAAGGGCCGAAGGCCCAAAATACTCGTTCAAACACTTCCATGTTGCTGTAATAAACATCGTCTACCAGAGCTTTGTGTTTCCATACAACAACGGTTCCCGGGTTTGACTGTTTGAGTGCTTCCATGAAGTGCGGAAGTCGGCCATAAGAACTCTCCCAATCTCCAAATACTTCAGCTATGGCTTTCTCCCTAGCATACCATGCTCTTCGATAAGTAACGTCGAACTGAAAATGCTTGGATATGAGTTCCTGTATAAATTCAACTTTCAAGCATGGATCTTTCTGCACAAAAGACTTCACAAAATCGGAAATTAAGGATGAATCCAAGTGTGCATGATCTGTAGATAACACTTCAGTGACACAGGTGTCCCGGTGCGGGCCTTTGTATGTGACTATGGTAAAGGTATCTGAGTGCTCACTTTTTTTGGTGCCTCGTAGCGACCAACCACAATTCTTCTTGCACCGCATATGAAGGACCTTCTCATTCGAGGTCACTGTGGTGTAGAATTGGTTCCTTTGTATAGAATACTTCTTCACCATTTCCTGAAGCAGTTTCTTAGATTCAAAGAACATACCCTTCTCAAACTCCCCCCCCGATCACAAATGTTGTATGACTACCTGATTCGGCCCAATATTGATCAACCTCATAATTCTCATTTACTTGACTTAACCAAGGAATAGGAGTTCTAACCATGGCCTCCCCACCTTCCATGTCTGTAGAATCAACATCCATGTTATCCAGAATTGGTTCCTCCTCTTCGCTCTTAGCCTCATCATTTGTTTCCCGGAGCGCATCATACAGAGACAACTCGTTATTCACCATATGTTGTAGATTTTCAAGATGATTCACCAATGGTTGAGACGGTGATGTATGATCATCATGCTGCGTAGGTGAATAACTTTGGAGTTGCATGGGAGAAGATATAACTGTGTTCGATGTCGAAGGCCCAGATTGGCCAAACATTGTCGTAGATGTTCCACCATATACAGGTGAAGCTATATGTGAACTCAACGGCATCTGGAACCGATCGTCATGAAGCAGTCTGCTGACGGACCCCATCCCATATTCAGTTGATGGAATGTCTTGTGAGGGCATTCGGAAGGACTCTGTGTAACCGGAAAAATAGGTAGCTTGTTGATCTGGTCGAGTACTTTGTTGCGTACACGTAGACACTATTTCTACATATATCTCATGTGGATAACCCCTCATTAAAACAGCGCTCCTCAAAGCTTTCAAATGTCTATCGTTAGAACAAGGTAACACTTGAACCGCATTATTAGTCTCAAACCTCATTTGAATGTTAAGTTGTACATTCATTCGGTTTAAGCCAATAATGCTATGAACCTCGTTCATCAGATCGTTGAAAGTCATGTCTGGTCCAAGTGGTAATGGTTCCATATTTTCACCACTATACTGGACATTCGGTCCATCAGACACAAATTCACCCCCCCCCATCGGCATAACAAAGCTGCGTTTTGTGCAGCCATATTCTATACAACAACCAAAAACACATCTTAATTGCATGCAATCTCCACCAATTCGCACAATAACAACCAAGAAATTCACACTACAAACATAATTAACCATCATTGTTCCAATTCACATAACAACCAAAACAAAGTACACAACGAACATATTCACACTAACAACCAACGTATTCTGCATAACATAATTTTCGTAATTAAACGACAATGTAGGCTATTTTATCAAATTAAAACAACAATTTCATCAACAATATCAACAATTTCATCAACATTTTCAACATTTTACCAAACATTTCCACAATTTCATCATAAACTTTCTTACTAAACTAACATCAATTTAGGGCTTTTATACTAAACTATTATCAAATTACAACAAACTAACTTAGAATTATCAACATAATTATCAATTTACATCAAACTAACTTAGAATAATCAACAACATTATCAAATTAAAACAATGTACTATATAATTATCAAACTAACCTAGGTTTTAAAATTTTAAAAACAAATAAGTGAGAAGTACCAAAAATGTGATTATAAAGAAGAGGAGAGGCGCGGCGGCAGCAAGCAGTAGGCGGCGGCGACGGTGGCAGGCAGCAGGCGGCGGCGGAAGCGGCAGCGACGGCGACGGCAGAGCTTTGAGGAAGAGTGAGCTTGAGTTTTTAGTTTTGAGGAAGAGTGAATGCGTTGCGTCTGCCTGGAAGAATATACCAGGCAAAACTGCTGACTGAGGCAGCGTGTTTCTAGTATTAATGAAACGCTGCCTCAGTCAGCGTTTTAAGGCCTGTTACAGCCTAACACAAAAGCGTTTTTGTGTATTTCAGTTTTTTTATTTTTTATTTTGTATTTCACAAAATACATAATTCAAAACAAATTAAATAAATAAAAATGAGGAAAAACGCTGATCGAGGCAACGTTTTACCTCAGAAGCTCAGTTTCGTAAATAGTTTGGCCACGCGTCTATAGTCGTAAATAGTTTACTAATAAGGCTTAGTTTCGTAAAAAATCCACACTAAAAAAAGCATATCCGGCCAAGTAATGAAAATTTCGTTCACTAGCAGCCCTCCATCTACTCCTAATTATCTGAAATGTAAATATTGAACTAAATAACCGTGAGGATAGAGCTATGATCAAACTCTTTCTTTTCATAAGTTAATAATAATAATAATAATTATAATAATAATAAAAAGTAAAGAAGATTTCGGTGAAGAAAACAAAGTTTTGCCGTTGTATATTCAGTGGTAATGTGGTACTTGATATCCTTTCTGACTTTTGAATAGTGGGAAAAAAAGCACAAATATAAACTGACATTGAAAAAGATCTTTATAATTTTTGAAAATAGAAAAAAAAGGAGGGACAAAGAACGAGTGAGTGAGGATGAGGCATTCCTCCTTTCATTATCCACCATTCAAAAATGATAAAAGACGGTGAAATAGAGCCTTAGCTTTTCCACCACCTTTTTTTCTTCTCAAAAACATAACACCCAAAAACAAAAACAGAGAATTAGCCCTGTTACTAATCAAAAATGGCGTTGAGAATGTGGGCTTCTTCTACTGCTAACACCCTTGGTCTCTCTTGTGCTTCTAAAGCTCTTCCTTTTCCTGCATTTTCTCTTTCTAGATGCTTTTCCACTGGTATTACATTTTAATTGTTGTCATTCTTTTCTTACTCTTGATTTATGTTTGTACAAACTCGCCGAGGTTGTCGTTATTGTTATTGTTATTATAAATCATTGGTGATAGAGTATAAAACATATTCCCGGGCCTCAACTATCATCTTAAGCTTTTGGTTGAGTTGGTCCACTAACAATCGGCATAAGAGAAATGTTAAAGGAGTATCTCAACTAAAAGCTTAAGCTAATGGTTGAGGTTCAGGATTATGTTTTATACTCTATCAACAACTAAAATGTTTAATGTGGAATATTAGTCGGTAATTATTGTACTGTAAAATGGTTTTGCAGTTTTGGATGGATTGAAGTATGCATCATCACATGAATGGGTGAAACATGAAGGTTCAGTGGCCACCATTGGCGTTACTGATCATGCTCAGGTTCATTATTTTAATTTTTATAGATAGATAGATTACTTGCTAAAAATTAGCAAAGAAAACAAATGTATGTATATATGTAATGCATGATTAGTATTACCAACTCTGGGTTTATATAAGAATTAAAAATTTTGTGGTGGGGGTGTCCATATATACTATATATATGGTCAGCACCATCTTGGGGATGTGGTGTTTGCAGAGCTACCAGAAGGAGGAGCTGATGTAACTGCCGGAAAGGCGTTTGCATCGGTGGAGAGTGTGAAAGCAACCAGTGATGTTAATTCTCCCATTTCTGGTGAAATTGTTGAAGTTAACTCCAAGGTTTTAGAGACTCCTGGTCTGGTAAGTCTTTCCCTTCATGTTGTGTAACATGTTTATATTACTCAACTTGAAGTTGAAATGGCAGAGGAATTGTTTGTTCCGATTTGTGTTGTTTTTATGTTAGTTCGTGTATGGTCATATTAGGGTACATTAATAGTTTAGAATGTTGTAAAGTTCAATCAATTATAAGGAAAAAAACTGAGTTATAAAGTTTAGGACAACTCGAATCTGGTTCAAGTAATCAGATATCAGATCAGCTGCAGACCTATTATTTACCACATGCAGTTATCATGAATGTTGCTCCATTGTGTAGTTATTTATAAGATGGTTTGATGTTGCAGATTAACTCGAGTCCATATGAGGATGGATGGATGATCAAAGTGAAGCCAAGTAACCCAGCAGAGTTGGAAAGCCTGATGGATTCTAAGGAGTACACAAAATTCTGCGAGGAAGAAGACGCTCATTAACACTTCACACTGAACAATAAATTAAAATCATGTTTCACGTTTGTTTGAGCTGTGTTTGATGTTAAATTTGCAAATCTTTATGTATAATTAGAGTGCTAATTTTGCTCTCCGTGATTTCACAGATTACTTAACATAAGCTTTTCAAAGCAATATACCAGAACAAACTGGTAGTAGAAAACCAGTAGATCAGAACACTTTTCGTTTCAGAATAAATCAATTCTGCATATGCATGATCAGTAAATAAAAATAAGGCTAATTTAAATTTCTAAATATTTACATAACCTAATAAAACCTAATAATTAATTTTTTTTTTTTTTAAAAGGAAAAGTATACTCTAAATGGGTGAGTTTGTTGCAGGCAGCAACAAAGAAACTAGTTCACTAATCTACTGTAGTTCCTGCAAAACTGGCATATTTACCACTTCTATAGTTCTATTAGGCACACTATTGTCATTAGCACTTCTTCAGAGCTTCTTCAAGTTTAGGAGTTTCCTGCAAAAGCACATCTCCGAAAGCTCTCTCTTGCACTACATTTAAGAGTCCACCAGTTTTCAACGCCTGAAATATCAAAAATCACCATACAAGGTCATGAAATTAGCAAATCTTAATACATAGTAATATATACACAGAGGAATAAAATTGCACAGAAGCTGAATTGTGTAACAAATTTTACATGGGCTCTCATCAATTTTTTCCCCAAAACTACTGCCTTTTTAGTACTCACCAGTATTTCGAAAAAAAGCAATGCATTTTCCCTCTTGGTTTTATGTTTAACAATGGGTAGCAGTGTAATGCCTTGTACACCTTCCTGCTTCTTTCTTTGGATTACTCGACGCAGGTATCTCGCCACAGTTCTGAAATAAATTTAAAACAAAAAACGTTAAGAAATTTTCATAAAAATAAGGAATTGATACAAATATTAATCTCCATTTGTTATTACCTGGTTCTAGCAGACAATTCTCCATCTGCAAGCACAAAACAAAAGCTTTAGTTATTGTAAACAGAAACTAAGACATGAAAAAGAAGATTAAATATTTAACTTTTGGGACTACAACATTGTTATCGCTGTTGCTGTGAAAATTAAATTATACGTAATATAACCAATACTAGCATGTAAAGTAGGAAATGAGCTTACTCTTGTTCCTATGGAGTTCTTGACTATCTCCTTCATTTTCATTCATCTACATACATAATTCACAAAAGAAGAGTCAGCAGCAAATCGCCATTAGTACAGAGCAGCAGAGATAATGAGAACATATCAAATCAAAGAAATAACAGCCATAATGAGATAAGCCAGGTTCACGCGTTCCATGATTGATGTACTTACGGACAAACCACGACCTTAGAGGCAGCCCAGGAATGAATCAAGATAAAAAAATAAATACATGAAACAATGAATATACTAGAAGTCATCTTAGCTTCTTGTGAAATCAAAATTCCTCTGCCAACTAAGGTTCATTTGCCTCTTCTCCAGACATACCTAGATGTCTTATACAACATACTTCAATTCCTAGCACTATTCCTGTTTATTTGACAGTTTGACTCCTAAATCGTTTAACAAGTTTCCGACTTTCAGTTACCCAGGGTTAAAGGTTAGATGTTATGGAACAGCACAAATGGCCAATGTAATTAGCATCAAGGAGTAGGCTTAGAAATTAGCTTCAAAATGTTTACATGAACATTCACCCCTTTTGAGCAAACTAAGACACTTTGCAATCCTCAATCTTCATACCAGGTTTTCAATTAATATATTTTTTTTAGAAAACTACTTGTCCAATGACATCTTACTCATTAGCAATTCCTTGAAGAAATGACACATCCAATGAATAAATTAGCCTTTTAGATTTGTAAACTACTCTGCCCCACTCAGTTTATCAATAAACCATCTTGCTAGTCCAATAAAGTCAACAAAATTAACATAAATTGTGGTAAGAGGTCTACCTCAGCCACCAGACTAGGACCACAACTGTCTTCCGCTGCATCGTACACAGACATTTCCAACCTTCTATTCTCATACGAATGAGCACCTTCCCCATCTGAATCTGCACCCCTGAAGCTTCCAAATACCCTGGCAGAATTTGGACACTGAATTGGAGTTCCTGGAGCGATTGTTGATCGACTGTCAGTGGGGGCACTTGAAGTTGCAGCATCCTGCTGCTTTACTGGAGGTTGGGTAATTTCAATGGGTTCGACTGCATGACTTGTAGATGGTTCAGTTCTTGCTTTTGTTACTTCACGGCAGATGACTTCCAGCTCTAAAGCATCCCCTGTGAGTTATGGATTACTACTCTATCACAACACAAATGATAATTATAATACAAATGTGAGCATATTAAAATATACTTACAGGGTATCAAAGGCTCCAAAAAACTGTTTGGAAGGGCTGAAATATGATGAAGCCTCCACAAATCGATGACTGTATGAGGAGCTTTCCTTTTCTTACATACCAAGCCACTTGCGCCCTTAATGACCCGCTTCATTATCCTGCCAATTATCAGATCATTGCCAAATGTCTGAGTACATGAAAATTTCAAACTCTAGATGTCTTAATGTTTGCATATATCTTTAGTTGCCCATCATCAGTATAAGCCTTTAAAGAACAATGTTCCATAATCGAATAATCAAGACAGGAATTAATACATCAGGTTAAAGTCCCAGCCAAATCCCAAGCAATACCCAAAATTTATATTGTTTCCATAAAAATTATGTGGAAGCTGTTAACTTACTCATTATCCAACATTGTAATTTCATCATACACGCATTTTCTTTTGCAAGGTCGTTCAATCTTCTCCTTCTTAGCAGGAGTGGGCACGACCATAAACTCAGGAGTAGCAGTAACTGCATCAACCAAACACCTTAGTGATCTTAAATAAGTCAAACCCCCCACCCCCACCCCCTCCCCCCCCCCCCCCCAAAAAAAAAAAAAAAAAAAAAAAAAAAAAAAAAAACTGATAACAGAAGCTTCAAGCATAAGAAAATGAATGCAGTTCATAGGTAATGATCAAATAGATATTGTGATATTAAATGCACCTCCAGCATATGCAACTTCTGAATCACGGGTCTTCTCTGTGGAAGACGGCACTTCCTTCTCTTTTAATATAACGTGATCTTGATTCTCTATTAGATCTTTCTTTAGGGCATCCACATCCATATTATCAGTAGTTTGTGCTTGATATTCATTTATCATATTGAGAAGTTCAACATCCAATTCAAAGTCCACGCCCTCTTCTTCAGTAAATCTTAACTCTCGAAGCTTCTCCTTGCTTGTTTTAAAGTCCTTTAAGAGGTTTGGAGAGCTAGTACCATTAAATTCCATCCGATGAGGTGAAAACACTTTGAATCAAAAGCAAAGAATGTGTATTACACTCAAGAATTAACAGAGTAAAGCCCAACAAATCTAAATTTTAGAACATCAATGCCGCAAATTAGACTTCAGTTTTCATACTTATCAGGAGTATGAGTATGGCCAGATGTTTCTCGTGCAAAGGCTAATTTATCAGGTGTTTGAGTGAACGACCAAGTTTCCTGTTGCATAGTGACCCCTTGTGATTATCTGAGCATCACTCAGATCTTCCCAGAGAGTGGAACCCTCTTCAAATTGTAGCTGCAAAGTTGCATAACAATGACATTGTCACCCTCAAAAAGCCTTACAGAGCAAAATATGCTACAAAACCAAGAAGTTATAAGCCACATTGAGTGATTTTAAGTACAAAGATGCTCCAGTCACCCATAGCAAATAAAGGACAGCTATTCGCAAGAAAGTGGGAGTTGCAGGCATTACAGACAAATCAGGGAAAATTGCCTGTGTTGGTTCGGGCATGTAAGACGGAGACCCTAGGGTACACCGGGACGAAGAGTGGGTTCATGGATAGCTTCAACGAGGTAGAGGGAGACCGAAAATGACTTGGTTGGAAGAAGTCAGGAAGGATATGAAGCAAATGGATTTGCATGAGGACGAGGTATTTGATTGCGGGGGATGGAGGAGGAAGATTTTTGCACATGACTATACGGAATACTCACTTTTGGTTCATGTAGGCGATCCCACTTATGAGATTAAGACTTTGATTGGGTGATTTATAAATGATTTGGATGATCTCTAATTTAGGTAGGATGAATTAAGTAATACCGAATATCAGAAAGAGCACAGCAAACACCACAATTTTAGTTTGACTGACTACTTGTGGTTAATTAATACTTTTTACACATGAGATGAGTGCTGATTACATCTTTATATGTGATTCATCTTTCAACAATCCAAATGTTACCGATACATCAACTTGAGGGTTGAAAATATCCAAATATAATTTAGCTGTTTAGCCTTCAAAAGATTCCCAGCCTCTTAATATGACTATAACTTCAGTCATATTGACTACTCAGAAAATCTGATGGAAGCTGATAAAATTTTTCACTAAAAGAAAAATTCCTCTAAAAATAGATGTAAATGGATCTAGTAACTTCAGAATACTTACTTAAGGTACAAAAAAGAAAGATTACCTTATCTAAAGAGTATTGAGAAAAAACATCTTTCCCTGCACCAACTTTACAGAAAGAAAAAAAAAAAATTATAATACCAAGGAAAACTAAAAAATCAAATATCTTTGGGAGAACAATGGTACCTTTGATACTAATATCTTCATTTCGTGCAATATTGCACCTGTGTATTTAATCAATCAAATCATAATTTGTAGAAAGAATGAGTGAAAGAGAGCATAAACTTTTTTTTAAAATGAAAAATCTTAATCTGAATGTTATACTCACTTGCTTGCACAATCTGCAACCTCCAGTTGAAAAGTATCAAGTTCATACCGCTCCGGCAGGGTAATGGAAGGAGAAGATCGCACAATATCTCTAAAGGAAACTACCTTTTTGCCAACAGAGAATCTATTGATATAGGAAACAGTTTCGTGACAGTCATTAAATAAATATTCGACTTTCTTGGAATAGATTCTCACGACGCCAAGGAGAAGATAAGCCAAAATCCTGTATGTAACAGATGGCAATCCTTCTCGAAGAACTTTATCTGTCATAAATAAGACAATAAGAAACATAAGGCAAAACAAAGATGGTAAAAAATTTATCCACTACGTGTCATACCAAGAAGTGCATACAATAAAATGAGAGGACTTCTTGAAGTAGACTAAAGAAAATATCACCACGACCATACACAGAAGAGGTTTGTGACAATGATGCAAATCAACCAAAATTATAATGGATTGATTGATTGAATTCAACTCAAACTCCACAAATTAAGCTTGGGTCAAAGCAATAAAGGTTAAGTGCCTAGTAAGAAAATCCAATTTCACCCCTTTCCAGTCTCCATGAACCTCAATGTGGGATATATATTTGACGCTATATAGAAGCTGAGCATTTCACAATAAACACCCAAAAGCATAGCTGCTTGTAAATCAATCTCAAGGAAACATCATGCACGCAAATAACTTCAAAAGTAACCAAGCAGACAGCCCATAATTTGAACAAGATGGTGCTGCGTTCCAATCACTTAATATACTCTGAGAAAATGAATGGTGTAATATACAACAAATATGGCTATGTTCAGTTCAGCTAATTTAAGCATTTATTTGCTTAATACAGAGATGATTAGATTAAATAAATTCAAGTAAATCTTTGCATTTGCATTTACTTATTCCTAGATTTTATTTATTTATTTATTTTAAAACATATCGCTGAATATTTTTAATTATGTAATAAAAACTTACTTCCTCCATTTCATATTACATAACACATTTCATTTAGACATGTTTACCAATCCATACTTTCTAATGCAAATATCCTTGATTACATTATAAGCAAAAATTATAAAAATTTGATATGTAAAAAATAGATGTTGAAACGAATCTAACAAGATCCCACATGAGTATACTTTTTCTCAACATGAAATCACAAAACAAAGTCAAAGCAAGTTATATGAATAGTGTACAAAATCAAACAATGTCATCTAATTTGGAACGAAAGAAGTATGAAAATTTCATACTACTATATAAAGTTACAATTTAACATTAACATGAAGCTAATGACATCTCATTTGATGATTCTTAGGGTTGTCCCAATCATTACGGAGGCCTGTGCAATTAACCCTTAGATTCATCTTATCAATGTGTATTTATTACTCCTTGAAAAGTGTGTATTGCGTTAAAAAAAAGTATTTTATTACTCTTCAAAAACCGTGTATTGCGCCTTTATGCACCTTAATTGCCGTTTGAATTAAAAAAAGGTAAGTATGTTGTTAATGGAATTTGAACCTTCGCCTAACAATCACTGAACCTCAACAAGTCACTTCATATAATTAACTAATTATGCAACACATTTCTTACGCAGTATATTACAAGTAAGCCCCTTTCAATGTTTAGGACAGGTGGGTATTAAAGTTTAAGCAAATCCGAAAATTATACGAAGTATCAGATAAGAAGATTCCAAATCAGATTAGGTAAAAACAAATCAGTTGAACTGCAGATAGCCTATAAAGTCCACTTCAATCAAGATAATCTACCATAAAAATCTAGAAAAAAATTTGTCCTGTTAGTCCCGAATACCTTTACTATAGCTGTATGATCGCCATGGTATGGTTACAACAAAAACAACAAAACTATTCACCCATTTAAATGAAAATGAAGAAAGTGACTCTCACTTCATCAAAATGGTATAGCATAACAACAATTTCATCGGCCTCACCCTTAAGATGTGGCAAAAGGATGTTTAGTGTAAAAACAGTAGTACCTAAAAACTACTAGGAGCACTATCATGACCTTAACAGGCAATTTGGCCAGAAAACCATCCATTCACCAAATCACTGGGAAACCTAGATGAACAAGAATAAATAAATGACAGCTTAATGCCAATGGCAAGGTAATTAAGTTCAGCAGCAAGCAGATATTAGAGCCAACTTCGAATACAACTCAGCAAAGCTAATACAAGTAATTGAATTCATAACTCATAACACGGAGAGCAGATCAGCCAACATGATTATGTTCCTCACTCTTCATTTCATCCCAACAGTGTCTTTCATTCAAACATATACACTTAAACATAAATCAGCAAACACCAAAGCAATGGAAATCCTCAAAGGAAGGCAGGTTAAATTATAGAGATCTGACACAACGAAGTAAAGACAATGCTAACGGTAGATACCACACGAAGAAAGTGCTTCATTCTCAATTCAGTTTCAAAATCTGTATCACAGAACCTAAAAAATAAAAAAATAATAATAAATAAAAAAAAGACACTTCAACCTACTTAACAGGATCGTACACTAATCATTTTTTGAAACAGCATTAACTGGTAGAGTAAAAACATTTCTGATATAAAACCCACATGAAATTTTCGCCCAATTTAACCCTCAAATGAAGCAAAAGCAAGATTATTTCCCATTTCAACACTATTACGCATTAATTTCTCAAAAAATAACAAAGAGGGGATCTTTATTTGTTAAAATTATGAAATTTTAGCAAATTAAAAATCCTCACAAAAACCGCCAACAAAAATCTCACAAACAGATATAATCACCACAATGAATCAATTTTCAGGAAAATGACACCCAAATGAGCAACAATGAGAGAAAATTAAACATACCCAGATGACATTTTTCCCCCCCATTTCAACAATTTGACAAAAAATGACCAACAATTTAACATAAAAATAAATCAAAAAATTGGGCAAAAAAATGCTCACTAAATCTCTAAACTTTCAAAGTCAAACCCTAAAACAACATCACAAAAATGCAGAACACTTTACAATCAAACAAACACCATAAAATTCAAATCAATTTCCGACAAAACCAAAAACTTAACACAAAACAAAACCAATAAATCATAATAACAAATGAAAATAGAGAGAACACAAACCAACAGAAGAGATAATATCAGTGTCAGTAACTTGACGTTTTTTGAGGCGTTTGAAGAAATAGCCAGCAACCCAAATAGCACCCAATGGTCCTTTACTTGATAGAAGACACTGTGAGTAGAACATTGTTCTCTTTCTCTCTCCTCCTTCTTCTTCTTCGTCTTCTTCTTCTTCTGGGTTTTTTTCTGGGAAAATGGTGTTCTGATTTCTTACCAAAAATGGTAAAACTGGGTTTATAGCAGTCATCAGAAAAGAGAAAAAGAGAGGTTTTTCAAGTTTGGAAGAGGGAAGAAAGAAACGGTCGATTGGTGTACAAAGGAAGTCTTGCTCTAAAATGTTGCCACGAATAAATTATTGGTGTTACTCCTACTCGTGTTACTATACTATGGTCTTATAGAGTAACTTTTTTGAATTTCGAAGGATGCTATCAATTTGGATATTGATGAAAATGGTAAAACAAAGATTCATGGTCTATCCAATATCTTCAATATACTTGGTAAGTTGACTAATTGATACTCCGTATTTAATATGAAATCTTCATGATTTTAATACTCAGATGTGTAATTTGAATTTTAAATCCTAAATTGATTTAATAGTATATTATAACAATTGTGTTTTTGAAAATGAAAATATATTTTGATAAAGATTGCTAATACTCTATACAATTGGAGTTATTTTTGTAGGGAATTTCCCTCTTAAGCTCTTTTTAATTTTTTTTTTGTAAATATTGATTATTTTGTTTAGAAAATGTGTTATTCTATTTATCATTATTAAGTATTGTTTGTAAAATATAATTGAAGAGTATTTGTAAAATATAATTGTTAAGGCTATTATTTTAATTTAATTATTTTACACTTTCCCATTAGTTTCTAGTTCATCTAGGTTGAAAATCATGGAGTTGTATAATGGTAAACCCGTGTTTACAAAACTTGCAAATTTAATGGATTATGAAAAGTAAGTACAAATTCCATAACATGTTATTTAAAGTAATATTTTCATCTTTTATTGAATGCGTAGTTCTTTTTTTATTGTTATTAAAAGTACCAATCATTGTACATAATGATAAATTACGATAGAAAATATGTTCTACAAATGAATCTACTGTCATATAAATAATACTCAAATGTTTTTATTCTTGAACGGAGTTAAATCTTTGCAATCTACTGCTAAATAGGTACGGCCGTACAAAGTATATACCATACTCCGTATCTATAAATCACACAAGTATATTAAAATAAAATGGAAATTATACATGTTTGGATAGGAAAATGTAGTTTATATATATATATACCCGGTTTATCGTACATCCAGGTGTACCGTACACCCAAATATATTTTATTTATTTGATAATTATTTTACTGATTTTAAAATCTAAAATGAGCGGAAAAAAAAAAAAAACACCTTTATTGTACTTACCTCTATTACTCATTTACTCTATAATCTATATACACTAGGGTGTGTATAAAAGGTTCTCAAGAAAATGGGTTACCATTTTGAAATTTATACTCCGTATTAACTAAGCCTATCCCATTAAAGCTTAAATGCTATCACTAAATAAAGAATTTAGCCCATTGACAACTGGCCCAGCCCAATGACAACTATAATCATACAAAATACAAGATTAAGAACTTAAACTAACATACCCATTATTGCTCATTACCTTTGATTTTTTTTTTTTTGACAGAATTACCTTTGAATATATATTTAGTTCCTTATATACAAATCTTATATATGTAGGCAAGCAGCACAGCTGCACAAATATGAAGACATCACAATAAGTAGAGTGGGATTGTAAAAAAAAAAAATCATCACCTCTCAAAAAGGTTTTATCAATTTAACTCACAGGTTTATAGATTGTAATTTTTTTTTTTTTAATGTTCTGATAAGTTAGAGTATTATTTTAAAAGAAGATTATCCTAACTTCTTGTTTACCTTTCCATTAAAAAAAAAAAAATTACCTCACATATACGGGAGTAAGAAGGGAAGACAATCATGTAGCTTATCATTTGACTAAGCTAAGCCAGTTCCATTTGGGGTTGAGCATGCATTGGTTAACCATTGCTAGCTTATTACTCTTAAAAATAAATCAATTATCTTAAGTGATGTCTTCATTGCTTAACCTTTGATCATTATTATTTAACGAAGTATATTTTATTCAAGTATACCTAATAGTACGTCAAAATAAATAAAGAAGTCAATCGAGTTGCTAGCTAGTTCGGTTATCGTATGCTTTGGGGGAAGAATTCATCATGAATTGACCAAGTCGTCAATAATAGGAGTATCTTTAACGACATTAATAAAAATTATTACAAGTATTGCATCATCCAATCTAATTTTTTCCCTTGATTTTTTTTTTATTAGCGAATCAATTTGTCATGACTCATGAATGATAAAATCATGATAATTAAGTTGACTTTAGAGAAAAAACACTGAAAGGAAAATACGAAAAGTATAATTTATGTACGTAGCAAATATTAAGCCATTCAATTCAATCGTTTTCATATTTTGAAGAATATTATATATATTTGTCAAAAGAAGATTAGTATTAAGTTTGATAATAAACTGAACAATGCAAATACCTTGTTATTTCATGGAAGATTAACACAACAGTTACACTAGATTATTGATTTCCTTGCTAGCTTGCTGACGGATATTCTTATATGTATAAATGTATAATAGACAATTAGACATCATTCAAGTTGGTTGATAACAAGATCGCTTTGATTAAATATAACAACCCTTAATTTAGTTTTAAAAAACCTAGTAGGGATTAGGGAAGTATTAAGTATATATGTAATTCTATAACTTTGAATTGTAATAAGCTGACACCCTTATTCTCTTTTATCCTAGTCAATTAAAACCCTAACCATTATCATTAGTAATATATTTGATTGAGCAATTATTGTCAATTTAAAATGTGTGACACAAATTTTTTCAATTTGCATTATACGTGGTATTTCTTGTAGATGGTGTGTCGGTTGGTATATAAATATATTCATCTGATAAACTGATAGTATTTTTGTCGTCACACATTTTAAATTGATGACCCAAATGATCAAAATTTTAGACATCTAAATTTAGGAACATGTATGCACTAGGTAAATTAACTTGTTTGGGTTTGGACCACTTTGGGGTCAACATTTTCGTTTTTGATACTATTTTTCGTTTCCAAAACTTCAACAAAAACATACTGATCAAAGACGTTTTTTTTTTGGTTGCAATAATGTTCACTCACAAAAAAAAAATTCAATCCTTTACATGCGATATTCAATCTCTTAAATATCGATTTTTTTTTATATACATTTGGGTGCAATTAAGGTGTCAGAGGGCTATTTACTGCTCATTTAAATATCTAAAAATGAGCCAAAAAAATAAATAAAATTGGTGCATCCATCACTATGTGCAATTATGAACTCATGAAAATTTAAAGGTTTTGGTAAATATAGCTCAAATGTTTATTCCTTGTTCTCACTCTACGTCTCTCTCTTTTATTAATCAAGACAATCAATATATAATATATTCTATTTAGGCCCCATTCTCTTCACCTTATTTTTGCTGAACTGAAATTAGTTTTACCGAAATAAAATTATATTTGCTGAACTTAAATTATTTTTACAGAACTTAAATTAATTTTATTGAACTGAAATTATTTTTGCTGAACTGAAATTATTTTTACCGATTTTCTATTATAATTATTCTTTAAGAAAATTGAATTTTACTTAATTGAACTTAAATTTATTGAACTGAAATTATTTTTACTGATCTGAAATTAATTTTACTGAAACGAACTTATTTTTACTGAACTGAACTTATTTTTTTAAGGTGAAGAGAACAGGGCCTTAGAGTGAGTTTTATATTAATTTTAAATTCTTTGTATTTTTTATCCCTACTTTTTAATAAGTAGGATTAAAATTTTATAAATAGTATTGAGACTATTATACCCCTAAAAATATTTATATGTGTATTTATCCTATTTTAAAAATATGCCGATAGATTGAGACGATTATGCTTCTAACATATTTGTTTACATAATTGCTTTCATTGGTCATTAATGCTATTTTTTTTGGGGGGAACTTTTTAAAAATTGTGTTTGTGGACATTTATACCCCTAACATATTTGTTCACATATTTTGCCTCATTAGAGCTACTAACAACAAACTAAATTAAAGTAGAACTTCCCACACTAGCTAGCTAACTAAATTAAACTATCATGCGTTAGCTGCCCTAATAAAAAAAAAAAAAAAAAATTGTGTTACTTGATCATTTCATGTTTCCATATTTTGTTTCCGTTTTCATGCAACGAACTTAGGGTCCAACTATGTGTAATTTCACTATGTATGTACAAGTAATTAAGAAACAGTTAGGGGTTGAGTCAACACTCAATAAATTAGAGAATTACTCTTCTTGTCTTCTTAATGTATACATTCACAAAAAGTGATATAACTTGACAGAAAGATTAGAAAATTGGTCAACCCCAGATTATTGGCTATCTTCAAGGAATATTCAAATGTGTTATTGACTTATTCTTTGTCCTTTCTTTCATTAGACAATAGACATCATAAGTTATATTCTAAAAACAAGATTGTATATTTATAAAATGCTCAACTACTTCGTCTTAATATCTCATTTTGTTATATAACAATTTAATATTACATTTTAATTGAAAGCTTAATTAGGCTAAGTGTAATAATACAATACTAGCCTCTTGCTAGGGTTAGTTGATCAGTGAGAACACATTTTGGAATTCAAAGACTGCAGTACTAAAGTACAACGACATTTTTATTGATTGTAATTAATTATATGCACTAAGTTAATTAATTAAAGAATATTTAGTTCTTTGACTCTTCTGATCTTATTTTGCTCTTTCAATTCTTAAGTGTATCTTCATATTTACCCGAGGAAGGTCGAGATGCTTGATTTAAACTTAATATGTTGATGGCTTAATGCCATTGTGTGCTAAGGCTATAACAACTTAATTGACTTCAATTTAGATAAACTAACATGCACAGAGACATGCATATATCAAATTATTCATAATACAACTAACATACATTGAACAGTTAAAGTAATGTTTTGACTTATTTATTTAAGCAAACGAACTAAACTACCTTAGTTATATGCCATATCATTTATAATTGTGGTACATCCTTGACTGGTTGGGTTATTAAGCACAGTCTCGATCATTCATCTAATGTCCTGGTTCATTACTCCCCCCCCCCCCCCCAAAAAAAAAAAAAAAAAAAAAAAATAAATAAATATATAGCACCCGTTTAAATTTGTGTTCCTACCTTCAACCTTTGAGTCAACTACCATGTAATGAAAATATACTTGTATTTCATAGTCCGTATTTACTACTCCGTATTCCTTTGTAGTTGTTGAATGAGCATCGTATATAATACTACCCACAGTCC